AAGAAGGAGGGGAGAGATAGAATGGAGAATGGGGCAAAAAAAAAAAAGTAATAAAACATCCCAGATTTTGTAAATGACTTTAACTTATAAATTTTTAGATATGTGTGAAGAGTTACCTTCTGTGTACAGTATGTCCAAATCTCAAATTTTCATGTGCTTACTTTGAAATGGGTGTCTACTGGATGTTTTATTTTTCTGTTAGCTATTAGTAACAGTAGTAATGAAGGGAAAATTCCAAACAAAAACAATCCAAAAGTAATTTATTTTTGATGTTGTAATACATTACTTAATTTTTTTGGTAATTCACTCACATGTTATGCTTAAAATAATACTGTAGAAAAGCCAGATTGAGAGTTAACATTTTCTAAAGTTATCTATACTCTTTTCATCTGTAATTGGCAATATTTGATACAGTTTATATTGGATTTACATTTTTGCTATTTAGATAGTTTGGAGCTGAGGGGAGGACAAACTCCACAGTTATAAATTTTTATTAGTCCTCATGTATTTATCACCATTTTTTCCAACCCTCATGGGGGGGATCTAAATGGGGGAATCTAAATTTTCTATATCAAAGATAAAACCAATACTGAAGTACATCTAAGTCAAGGAAAACAGACATAACACTTACAAGAAAATGTGCTTTTGAAGTGCTTATAACAGATATGTTATATTTGTTTGTGGTTCTTTAGATTGTCCTAATAAAATTTGTATTTCAAAGGTTTTTCACTCCATTCAAGAGACATGCACTGAACTTCTGAAGATAATTGAGAAATATCAGCTAAGACTCAATGGTATGAAATCCTAGATATCTATCCAATAATTCTCATTTAAAATAAATAATTCACTGACTTTTTTGAGAATGAAATATTTAATGTAAAAACAATACTTTACTGAACAATTCTGTGAATGGTTCCTTATAAAAAAGAAGCGACAGTGAGGAGCAGTGGGAATGGGGAGCTAGCATGTGAGTGGGCTTGAGTTCTGCTGCTCCCTCAGGGGTCCTGAGGGACTTCCCTTTCAGTTTGTTTTGTGTTTGCTTGTGTTTTTAAGTAGGCTCTATGCCCAGCGTGGGGCTTGAACTCATGACCCCAAGATCAAGAGTCGCATACTCTACGGACTGAGCCAGCCAGCACCCCTTTCCCTTTCAGTTTTTAACTTTAGCTTTTCCAACAGTAAACCAGGGTGAAATTAGGCATGACGTTAGTCATTTGTCACTTTAAGCTTATAATTTGAACACTTTATGGGCTCCCCCCCTTATTCGTCTTATTCTGATTAGAGAGTCAGACTTCTAAAACTTTGTGGTCAAAGACCACCTTTGTTCCGTGTTTTACTTTCAATCTGTTGTACACTGACACTTTTATAATAGACAATAAAAATTAATTTCTAGAAAAATGAAATTACAGAAGACATGCAAAATATAAGCACACTTTTTTTATTATTATTAGATTCAACAGATATAAAATACTCAAATTAGTAAGTTTCTAAACAGCTTCTTAGTTTTGGTACTTCTTACAGGCTGGTAACAGATGGTTCTGGGTTGGAACTGGTCAGTGGACCACACACTGAGTAGTAGTATACTACATGACAACTTTTAGGGTTTCAGTAAAATTGTGGATGTCTGTGGGCCTGGAATATTGAGCCAGGGTGGGAGTCAAGATTAAGTTAAGTTTAAATAGGATACGAATACTTTGTAAGAGGCAATGATCCTAAAATGCATGTCTGCACAATTGCTAATGGATTATTTGTGGTTTTGTCATTTTGGAATCTTTTTTTTTTCCACTAAAGATCAGACTTTCCCAAAAGCAAAGTCCATGAATTCACTACATCAAAACCATCTGGAGCACTTGTAGGTGGGAGGAAGCAGATCCTAAGACCGATATAATCAGAATCTCTGGAAGTGGAGCCCCAGGAATTTGCATTTAAATTTAAATTAAGCCTCTCCTTCCCCCAAGTAATTCTTAACATATAGAGAATTATTGCTGTGAGAAATTTAGTTGTGTGTTTTAAACAAATGATGAAATGAAACAATTAACTATACTGTAATTTTTTCCTAGTTATATCAGAGGAAGAAAATGAACTGGGGCTCTTTTTAAAGTTTCAAGCAGAACGGGATACAACACAAGCTGGTAAAATGATGGATGCTACTGGCAAGGCACTCTGTTCTTCAGCCAAGCAAAGGTTTACTATGTTTTACATCATCCTTAAATCTATAGTCAAAATGATAGTTTTGACCTATGTTTCTAAATTTGCATATCTGTAAAGATTACTGATCATTCCAGTATAGAGTTAAAAGAGAGATACATTACAGCATATAATTGTTTTGATGCCTAACTCTTATTTATTTTGTATGTAAAAGAATTACTTAAAAATGGACATTGTAGGTTGCTTAATTCCTAGAAATAGGCTTTAAGCCTATATTTAAATTTCTTATGTGGTCTAATATAACAGGTACATACATATAAAAATATGTATATTTTAATTATTTTCTTTCTTGTTTTGGATACTGTACTATCTAGGAGTACATTAGAACTTTTCCTTCTCCTTTTTTTTTTTTTTAAGATTTTATTTATTTATTTGACAGAGAGAGACACAGCGAGAGAGGGAACACAAGCAGAGGGAGTGGGAGAGGGAGAAGCAGGTTTCCCACCGAGCAGGGAGCCCGATGCAGGGCTCGATCCCAGGACCCTGGGACCATGACCTGAGCCGAAGGCAGACACCTAATGACTGAGCCACCCAGGCACCCCTAGAACTTTTCTTCTTTTTAAGCAGAGAGCATTTTTTCTTAATTATTTGGCATTTATCATTTTTACAGATTTTTAAGATAAAGATACCTGTTGCAAAGAATCTCCTACATTTACTAAATACAGCCAAAATCTTTGCATTTTCAGAAGAAAAATAAAAACAGGTCTTATCAGACCTGTAATGACAAAGTATAACTTAAGTGGCTTTATTCTGAAACACCACATCAGTGCAAAAGCCCATCATTAAGGAACACTCAGTACAAGGCCCTTCAGTGCCACTAAGTCAAAAATGCAGACTAGAGGAGCTGGGTTTGATTTGTTTCTTAAATTCTTGATTTTTTTGTCCTCATCCTCAGCTGCTGAGAACTCAACACATTAGTTCTTCTAGCATTTTATCTGCTTTTCTATGCTTAGGTTTTACCTCAATTTGTCACATGAAAGGCTTTCTATTTATGGGATTATGCTTTGTGAATACAGGATCTCTTTTACCCATGGAACTCTTTTCTAAATGGCAGATTTACTTGGCAGGTTATTTATACATGGATTAACATCCCAAATGTTGCAAAAATAATATATTTCTTAAAATAAGAAAAGGGAGACAGACACATCATTATTAGCAATTCAGAGTTGGCTATATGATCTTTATTTGCTTTCTAAATAAAGTTCCTTAGGCATCTTAATAATTTCCTATTTTATAGACTCATTTTTTTTTTTTAAAGATTTTATTTATTTCACAGAGAGAGACACAGCGAGAGAGGGAACACAAGCAGGGGGAGTGGGAGAGGGAGAAACAGGCTCCCTATTGAGCAGAGAGCCCGATGCTTGATCCCAGGAGCCTGGGATCATGACCTGAGTCGAAGGCAGATGCTTAACGACCGAGCCACCCAGGCGCCCCTAGACTCATCTTGACAGCAGATATGCTTTATGGTTTTAAACCTTTGTTTTTACTTTGTTTTGTTTATGGGGTGTACATCCCTCTGGTTTTTACCTCTCTGCCATTAGATTGGCCCTGTTTACTCCTCTGTCTCGTCTTAAGCAAGAAGTAGAAACATTCAGTCAAAGGGCGGTATCTGATACCTTGATGACAATCAATCGTATGGAACAAGCGCGCACAGAATACAGAGGAGCCCTGCTGTGGATGAAAGATGTGTCCCAAGAACTGGACCCAGACACCCTAAAACAAATGGAAAAGTTCAGAAAAGTATGAAAATGCCTTCCCTTTCCTTTACTTGATAAACCTATTGAACTTACACAGAATAATTGAATCAAGATCATAAATTATCAGGCTATTTTTGAAACACATTATATTATAAATTCTTGGTTGCTTGGAGATCTTTGAAGTACAAAAGGTTATTACACTTTTTTTTTTAATTCTTTGAGTGACATCCCCACCCATCAACCTTTTCTATTAATTTTTTTTTTTAATCCCTCTCACAGTAGCTGTCACTACCCTTTAAATGTTGCTTCCCTGGACTTTGGGATTTGTTTGCAGGAGGGGGAAATAGTTTATTAATGAGGAAAAAATAATTTAAGTAAAAATTCAGGTAACTCGATTATTATAAGAAAAAGTGAAGATTATCAGATTCTTCTTCTGCTACAATACATAGTTTGACCACAGACCTTTAAAGTATGTATGGACTTACGTTTTTGCTAAACAAACTACTTATGAATTGTATCCCCTAAATTTACCATATATGAATAATAAAATTCACTCCTTCACTTCATAAATATTTTAGAGTACGTATAATACAAATCATATTTATTATTATTATTTAAAGATTTTATTTATCTATCTGACAGCGAGAGAGGAACACAAGCAGGGGGAGTGAGAGAGGGAGAAGCAGGCTTCCCGCGGAGCAGGGAGCCCGATGCGGGGCTCGATCCCAGGACCCTGGGATCATGACCTGAGCCGAAGGCAGACGCTTAACGACTGAGCCACTCAGGCGTCCCTAAATCATATTATTGATGGAGCCTCTCTACCAGCTGTATAGGCCACAGAAACCTGTTATTCTTTCCCCTTTATAGTCCATGACAATTAGAATACAATCCAAAGGAGTTTTCAGACAACATTGTGAATACATTAACGTCACTGAATTTTATATTTTTTAAATGGTTAAGTTTATATTATCTGAATTTCACCTAAATTTTAATAAAAAAAAGAATGGATTCTAAACTTATCTGGACCCAGATAGCCCTGCACAGTCTGGTTCCTGGTCCCTGTGCAGCCACATCTTGCACTTCCTATACTCTAGCCCTTTCCGTGCCCCAGGAAGGAATATGTTCTAGACTATTCCATATTGCTCTGCAAACATATTAAGCTCTTCACCCACCTCCCACACCCAGGACTTTTGTCCTTGCTTTTCTCTGAGCCTGGAATGATCCTGGCATGGCTCACTTATCATCTTTCTGTCCCAGTTCAAACATCTTGCATGAGCTCACCAAAGGCTTCCCTGATCATCTTACCAAAAGTAGTCATTTCTTTTCACTTACATGTTATCTTTGCAACTTGAGATTATCTTATGTATTTATTTACTACTGTTTTTTCCTGTGCCTCCCCACTCAGGGATGGTGAGAAAGAACATTGTTTTGTTCACCATAATATCCCGGTGCCTGGCACATAATAGATACCTTATAAATACTTGTTGAATGACTGAATAAGTATATTTAAAAGTTGAATATTCATGCCACTTGGTGACATATGACTTACCTTAAGTATAGGAAATATGATAGACCTATATTTAAATTTATTAATGTATCTCCATGATTCAGAATTATTATTACTGCTTCTCAACACTTTAATTATGTCCCCTTTCCATTCATTCTTCTATTAGCTAAGTATTATCCATCAATAGTTTTGGATATTTCTTTTTATTTGGAATCTGTGAGGTTTTTTTCTTCTTAACTATATACTTTCCATTTATCACTGCATACTTTCTCAGCATAAAGATACCTGCTGGAAAGAATCTCCTACAATTACTAAAAATAGCCAAAATCTTTACCATTAATCATGAAATAATAATACAAGGAAAGAGAATTAGTCTTCTTTTTTTACAATTTCATTTGTCTGAAAGTATGTATCATGAGCCTGTATGGTAATGTCTGTATTATCAGTAATAATAATAAATATTATTGTGGTTGCAGGTACAGATCCAAGTGAGAAATAGCAAAGCTTCTTTTGACAAGTTAAAGATGGACGTTTGTCAGAAAGTGGATTTACTTGGAGCTAGTCGCTGCAATATGTTATCTCACTCCCTCACTACCTACCAGGTACCCACCTCCATGGTCAGCATGCCCTTGCAGTAAAGATGAGTGGTGAGATTCCTTTTTAAAAGCTGTCTAAAGGGTATAAAAAATTGCATGATTAATCAGATTCCTTTGACTTTGAAAATTGACTTACTGAGGTTATGACAGAGAATCGTAGAATTCTAGACTGAAAAAGACCTTCGGGATTGCCAACTCCTGTATCTTCATGTTATTCCCCTTGGTGTCCTAGGAGAGGGAGACTTTGGGGCCTTCTAGGTTTGAGTGGGGGGTGTTGAGGCAGAATTCACAGCTCATTAACCCTGGTTCACCCAGAACTACTCCACTTTGAACTTCTACACAGTTTCATTTGAAGCAAAGATGCTGTGGCCCAATAGTTTAAAATGTTTCTGTCATTTTGTAGCTGAGGGAAATGAAACCTAGGAGAATTAAAGTAAATGACAATGTTGGGCTAAAAACCCAAGTTTTCCCATGCTGGGTCCCATGTTTTCATTCTGCCAAGTCACCGTCGCCCACCACTTTAACCTCAGCGGTCTCATCTGTGCTTCTGCTACCCCAGGTCACACATAAACAGCACGCAGTGAGTAAAGCAGATGTTAATTAGTAGCAGTGACTAATCTTAACATGTATTCATGAATGGCGAAATAGAATCAACTGTATTTACATAAGATAAGAATAATAAACTAAAGGGAATGGACATTCACTGGGCCTTGTAGGAAATCTACCTCTTTTGGTTCAGTACTGTGGAATTCAGGAGTCAAGAAAGGATGCACTTAAAAATAAAAGTATCTGCAAATCCATGTAGCATACACCTGAAACACAATAGCTATTAGTTCAGTTCTCCTTTATTCTCTCCACTCAGTCCACTTTGAATACGAACTTTGAAGCACCAAGGAAAGTGTCCAATTACTTGAGTTGGCTTGAGAACACATTTTTTTTTTTTTGGTCTTTCTTGTGCCCTAAATGAAAGACTAAATTTAGTGGTATATACTATTTTTCCCAATTAATAAAGGTTTATATATGCTTACCAACATAAAGATTTACACTATACCCCTAATACAAATATGGTATTTTTATGCTTTTAACATTTCTCTTTTGGACTCTTCAGAAGGTGTTCTAATCTACTAGCATTACTCTCTGGCTGACTCCAGTGTACATTCCAGTGCTGTATACAGATAGGCACATATATATGCTGAGAGATGCCAGTTCTTATGCAGAATTACTATTTACATTGCTTTCTGGTTCCTCAAACTTGGAAATTGATTTTACTTCCTAGTGCTTATTATTCAGCAACCATTCATCTACCTACACTAGTGAGGAAAAATAGCAGGGAAAAAAATCATAACTGTAGTGACAACCTTTCTTTTTCTGCAGAGGACACTGCTTGGATTCTGGGAGAAAACAGCCCGATTGATGTCCCAGATCCATGGGGCCTGTACTGGTTTCCATCCATATGATTTTGTAGCTCTCAAGGTACATTTCTTTCCATGCTCTTTTGTTAGATATATTATACTTCATTTGGATATTGAAACTATTTTGTGCTAAACCTAACTTTGAATTTACAAAATATTGGGAAACATTTTTCTACACTCCTTCTACCAGTCATTTTTCTGTACTTCCCTGATTCCAAGTGCTACCAGCAACACTAAACAAATATGAGAATACTGCTGGTGGGCTCAAGATATTGGGTGGGGGTTGGCGGGGAGTAAAAGAGCGAGCAAGAGAAAAGAAAATTAAAATGCAAACGAGATAAAAAGTTATGGAAAAGAAAAACTTCGGAGGAATAAGCAATGGAAAATGGTCATTGGTTTTCAAAAACAACCAGAGTACCTACCTGACAGTTTTAGAAGTTAAAGAAAAATTTCCTAGCTTTACTTTTATACTCATGTTGTAGATGTGATTCATGGTGCAAAAATTATGGGTGATTCCAGCTTAAGAGACTACTGTATTATATTAGATCAGCTCTTTCTGTAATGCCTACATGTAAAAGGTACTCTCAGGTTTTTAACATTTGCATATCTTCCTGTCAATCTTCTTTGCATATGGCTTATCTAGCAGAGTCACACCATGGTAATCATTTCTTTAATTCAGGTAGGCTAGGTTTCAGTGCCTTTGAACTTACCATTCTGCCTTGTTTTAAATAGAGCTTGAAAATGTTATTGTTGAGATTACTCAAACTAGATGTGTTAATCTGTGATAGATTCATATCTTGCACCTGTATATTCCTGGGGCTTGGTGTTGATTTTTAGGTCATGTTCTGACATAGCATCTTCCAGTCTAATAGATACCCTTGTATTAGTCTTTATGTTTTTTTGTTGTGTGTATGTTTTGGTTTTTTATTTTTTTCTATATCAGTGTTTTACTGGATAGCATACTGTGTTTTTAGGCAAATTTAATATCTAATTTCTGTTCAGATGAAGTTGAAAATCTTTAGCCATATTTAGAGCATTGCAGTCAAAGCCAGAAACACAGTGTGTCTTCCTTGGCATATGACAGACTTGTAAACCCTGTGGCTAGCCCATGTCACAGGCTATATGGCTGCCATAGGCACCAGGATAAACAGGGACACAGGGCTAAGTTCAATTACATTAGCATATATTTCCCATATCTCTCACTCTCTAGTCTCCATAATTATCCCTATTTTGTTCTTTAAAAAAATTTTTTTAAAAGATTTTATTTATTTATTTGACAGAGAGAGACAGCGAGAGCAGGAACACAAGCAGGGGGAGTGGGGGAGGGAGAAGCAGGCTTCCCGCTGAGCAGGGAGCCCGATGCGGGGCTCGATCCCAGGACCCTGGGATCATGACCTGGGCCGAAGGCAGACGCTTAACGACTGAGCCACCCAGGCGCCCCTGTTCTTTAAAATTTTTATTCTCTAAAATTTTTATTCTCATTTTGTTTGCACAAAGAGAGAAACAGATTCCATCTACTTAACGTTGAATTTCTTGTCCTTAGCAACTACAAGACACTCCAAGCAAGCTTACTGAAGACCACAAAGAACAAATAGAAAACAATTCTCTCACTGAAAACCTCAATAAGTAAGCAGGCAGAAGTATGGTGTTATGGATAATGATACATGATATATGATATATTTGGAAACTGTGGATACTGATACAGAATATATTTGGAAAGAGTTGTTTCTTTTCTGACTTCCTGAATATTTATTTCTATGTCATTTTTCCAATTAGTATTTTTAAGGGTTTTTTTTTTTTAAGTGAGCTCTGTGCCCAACATGGGGCTTGAACTCACGAGATCAAGAATCAGGTGCTCTACCGACTGAGCCAGCCAGGTGCCCCATTTTTCCAGTTAATAGTAAACATTTGTTTTGAAGCCTTATTTTTCCCCCTATTTTAAACATAGCAGGCAAAGTTGATGATAAGAGTACAGAACAGATTGGAGTGATAACTCCAAATTCTATAGTTTGGGAGAGTGAGCTTTGTAGTAAGAGCCTCTACCTAGTGAATCCCAGAAGGGCCAGCTTGAAAGAGAAAGGGACAAGTGCCAGCAGCTATGAAACAGAAGCTATTGAAAATCTGTCTCTAGAGCAACACAAATGGGACTGGGGCTGGTTACATGAAAATGGGGGTTCTTGCTATGCACATCCTTTATGTTGCCTCTTTCCATTTTATTATATCGTACCTTTGTTTTCCTTTCAGAGCTGCCACTTCTCATTTTAACTAGATTGCACTGAGTGTAGTAACAAACCCAGAAATAAGACTTGAACTGTGACAAACCATATATTGCTGAGTGGAAGGTGATTCAGGATATAAGCATGTCCCTCTTTTCTCTCTGGGGAAATCCAAACAAATATTTTGGCTACTTTGAATATATAAACAATTTAGATGTAGATTAATCAAATGTGTAGTTATAAATGAAACTTATACATTGACATTTACAATCCTATGTTACATGAAATACATTCATTTAGTAAATATTTTCCATTATCACATTTCATGTAAGTTTTATTTAAAATCCTCTCATGCATCTTCAGCATTATGAGAACTACCTTTTGAGTTAACCCAGAGTCCAAAGCACTTTACTTTCTCTTCCATCTAAGTTGTTTAAAAAGCCATGTATATATGCTGTCATTGGAAATTTCATTCCAAGTTATTAGTATCTATTTGCTCTGTAGGTTTATTTCTGTGTTTTTTGCAAATAAATACTGTATAGGTTTCCCCTGCTATCTGAAAGTGAGGGGTCCTAATGAAATATTTCGTAAGCCGGTACAGTATAAGGCAAAGAAGCAATTACCATTAATTTTTGTGAAAAATTTTTTGAGTATTCCTAGACCCAAAAAATGACCTCTGTTAGGTTTTTCTGACACCCTAGCACACATCTTGCTAACGTATGCACAAAATAAATGGAGATAAAGCACAGATGTGCACAGACACAGTTCAGAGATGTAGTGGCTTAGCGCGGAGATGCCGAGTGTCGTTCCCAGGGAAGGAGCTTGGTGGTGCTGCTGTCACTGCTCAGTGTGCACACTGCCTCTAAACAAACACTTAATGCTGTTTTTGCTTTTTGCCTTTTTTGTAAAAGTGAAAATCCCCTTTGGGCTTCTTTCAGTCAGCAAAGGTGGGTACGAACGTAGGTCTTCTGTAGAAGCATAATGCAAGCTTTTGAAAAGCAGGGGATTACCTGTATTGCTTTTTACGTATCTTTAAAGATTTATTAAAAACAGCCTCTAATACTAGAATTGCGAGGTTACACCCCAGGAATAATGCCTAAATCAACTTCTTTGTCAAATTTTTTATTGCACATGGATGATATAAATATCCAAAGTTAGTACTGACTGAGAATATTTTAGGCAAATGTATCTTCTTTTGCAAACATCACTTTGCTGTTCAAAATAGAGTACTCCATTTTTCCTGCAATTCTTCATTCCCTCTATTTAGATCCCAAGTATTATTGAGCAAATGCTTCAGTGCTTGAAAACTAAACCTCATACTCCATGACTTTGGTGACAGATGTTCTCTATGATGTGGTACTTAGCATGGTGCCTATAATACTGAACACAGTACCTGGTGTTTCATCGGTACTCAGTAACTGTTGTTGAAAGAATAAGGGATGAAGGATTATTTTCATAGTCTATGTAGATCTAGAGAAGAAGTGACATTTGTCTCAGATTTTAGATCTATCTACAAGACAACTATTTTATATGTCATCTCAGTTAAAAATATTTTTAACCATATACAACTGCAGAATATGAGTCCCAAGTATATTTTAACCAAAATCTTTGCGTTTTTTGGTTTTACTTTAGGTTAGTTTTGTCAGATGAGGAAGTGAGCTTGGGAAATGAACCAGGTAAGATGGTAAATTCATTAAAATGTGAAATGATCACATTTGAAATGTCAAACAGTTTGTCACAACCTTTTTTTCTTTTTTAAAGATTTTATTTATTTATTTGACACAGAGAGAGAGATAGCGAGAGCAGGGAACACAAGCAGGGGGAGTGGGAGAGGGAGAAGCAGACTTCCCGCGGAGCAGAGAGCCCAATGTGGGGCTCGATCCCAGGACGCTGGGATCATGACCTGAGCCAAAGGCAGACGCTTAACGACTGAGTCACCCAGGTGCCCCATCACAACCTTTTAAAACAGATTGTATTAATATCCATTCATTTAAAAAACATGTTAAGTCAATTTATAAATCTCTTCTATATAAACACTTTTGAGTTAGATTTCTTTTCCCCCCAGCTTTACTGAGTTATAATTGATACACAACACTATAAGTTTAAGGTGTACAGTGTGAAGATTTGATATATGTACATATTGCTAAATGATTATCACTATAAACGTAGTTAATACATGCATCACCTTACATAGTTACTATGTATCTTTTGGCGGCAAGAACATTTAAAATTTATTCTCTTAGCAACTGTCAAGTATAAAATACAGTATTGTTAACTATAGTCACCATGCTATACATTAGATTCCCAGAACTTAATCATCTTTAGCTTAAGAACTTAAACATCTTTAGAAGTTTATACCCTATGACCAAATTTCACCGTTTTTCCTGCCTCCCAGGCCCTAGTAACCACCAATATACTTTCTCTTTCTGAGTTTGACTTTTTAAGATGTAACATTTAAGTGAGATCATATAGTATTTGTCTTTCTCTCATTTATTTCACTTAGTGTAATGTCCTCCAGACTCATCCATGTTATTGCAAATAGTAGGATTTCCTTTTTTTATGAGTAAATAATATTCAATTCTATTCTATTCTATATATGTATATATATATAACATTTTCTTTATCCATTTATCTGTGATGGACATTTCAGTTGTTTCCATGTCTTGGCCATTGTAAATAATAGTGCAATGAACATGGGGATGCAGATACCTCTTTAAGATAGTAATTTTATTTCCTTTGGATATATGTACCCAGAAGTGGAAGTGCTGGAGCATATGGTAGTTCTGTTTTTAATTTTTTGAGGAACCTCCATACTGCTTTCCATAATGGCTACACCAATTTACATTCCCACCAACAGGGCACAAGTGTTCCCTTTTCTCCACATCCTATCCCACATTTGCTATCTCTTGTCTTTTTGATACTAGCATTCTAACAAGTGTGAGGTGATAGCTCACTGTGGTTTAGATTTCTATTTCCCTGATGAGTGGTGTTGTGTATGTGTTGTGTATATGTCTTCTTTGGTTGGAAAAATGTGTATCTAAGTTCTTTGCCCATTTTTAATCAGGTTATTTTGTTTTTGCTAGTAAGTTATGAGTTCCTTACAGATTTTGGATAGGAACCCCTTATCATATAGATGATTGGGTTTGTGTGTGGCCAGTGTGATTGGGTTTTTTGATTGTTGATTGTTTTGTTATTTTTTTGCTGTGCAGAGGATTTTTAGTTTGATGTAGTCTTCTTTATTTTTGCTTTTGTTTCTTGTGCTTTTGGTGTCCAATGCAAAAAAATCATTGCCAACACCAACGTCAGGGAGTTTTTTCCCTAGTATTTTTTTTTTTAATTGAAGTATAGTTAACATGTATTAGTTTCAGGTATTGGGGGCGCCTGGATGGCTCAGTCAGTTAAGCATCTGCCTTTGACTCAGGTCAAGATCCCAGGTTCCTGAGATTGAGCCCTGCTCAGTGGGGAGCCTGCTTCTCCTGGGCTCTCTCTGCCTGCCACTGTCCCTGCTTGTTCTCTCTCTCTTTCTCTGTCAAATAAATAAAAGTTTATATTAGTTTCAGGTACAGAACACAGAGATTTGACAGTTATGGACATTACAAAATGTTCACCATGATAAGTGTAGTCACCATCTGTCATCCTGCAAAGTTATTACAATATTACTGTTTGTATTCCCTGTGCTGTACTTCCCATTCTCGTGATTTATCTATTTTATGACTGGAAGTTTGTACTGGTTATGTATGTTGCCTCTGCCTCCACCCCACTCTGCTGTGGCGACCATTGGTTCTCTATATTTGTGTGTGTTTCTTTTTGTTGTTGTTTGTTTTGTTTTGCTTTTTTTTTTTTAGAGTCCAGATATAAGGGCAATTATATGGTATTTGTCTTTCTCTGACTTGTTTCACTTAGCGTAATACCTTCTAGGTCCATCATGTCATGAATGGCAAGATTTCATTCTTTTATATGATTGAGTAATTCTGTATGCATTCATGATCTATATTTATAACATCCTATTTTAAGCTGATAAGAACTTCAAAAGCATATGGAAACTCTACACTTTCCTCCCCCTGACATTTTAGGTTATTAATGTTATCATTTACATCTTTTTTATTGTGTTTCCAGTAACAAATTATTGTAGTTATATTTTTAATGTTTGTTTTTTTAACTTTTAAACTAGAATTGAAAGTGATTTATGCACCACTCTTCCAATATTATAGAATCTGACTTTGAGTATATATTTACCTTTACTGATGAGTTGTACACATTTGTGCAGTTTTGGAGGTTATTTAACATCCTTTCATTTCAGCTTGTAGAATACCCTTTAGCCTTCCTTGTAAGGGAGGTCTGGTGGTGATGAATTTTCTCAACTTTCATTTGTTTGGGGAGGGCTTTCTCTCTCTTTTCTTTCTGAAGGACAGCTTTGCCGGGTATAGTATTCTTCATTGAGTTTTTTCTTTCAGTATTTTGAATATATCATACTGCTCTCTCCTGGCCTACAAAGTTTCTCCTGAGAAATCTGCTTACAGTCTTATAGGGGCTCCCTCATACGTGAGAAGTCACTTTTCTCTTGCTGCTTTAAAAATTCTTTGACTTTTGACAATATGATTACAATGTGCTGATGTATCTGACTGGACAAAGCTGTTGCTCATGCTCTGAGGTTGGGGGAGGCCCACTGGCTGCATTTTGTGTTTAAGTGGTGCTGTTGGCTGGGATCCCTGGGAAGGGGCTGTGCTCTGAGGTCAGGCAGGGTCACTAGCTGGGCTTCACAGTCATGTCTGATCAAATGATGCCACTGCCAAGCCTCTTTTTTCAGGCGGGGCTTCATGGTCTGATATGGCCTCAGCCTGTGCTTTGCAACCCGCAGGACTGCAGAGGCTGGGTTCTAAATCAGGTGGGACGGTGGCTGTGCTCTGCTGTCGGGCAAGATCGCCGGCCATACTTCCTAGCTGAGTGGGCCTCGTGCTTTACTGCATGATTGGGCAGAGCTTGAGACTGTGTTTTACAACTGAGTGGGATCCCTGACGGGGCTCCCTGCTTGGGTGAGACTGCAGGCTGTGCTCAGCAATTGAGCATGGCCATCCATGTGGCTTCAGTGCCAGGCAGGGCTATAGACTGGAGTTTGCACTGTGATGCTCCCCGGGGTCACGGAGGGCTTCCTGGTGAGCTAGGCAGGAGGTTATGCCTCATACTCGGCTGGGGCTACTGACTTGTTTCTCTTTCTGGTTGGGTGGTAGGATATGCTCTGTAACTTCCCAGGGTCTCAATCCAGGCTTCCTGGTCAGGTGGGACTGGAGGCTATACTCAGCAATGAGTTAGCTTTCTAGCAGTACCTCATTAGAAGGTCTACTTACTTTCTTTAGGGAATTTTGATTTTCTCTAAGATAAGGGCTTTTAATGTAGACATTTATTTCACAGGGTGGTATGATTAAGTTTCAAGCTTTTCCTCATACTTCAATACATGTTATTTTTTTTAATAAATACATATTATGTATACAATCAGTATGTATTCAATCAGTGCAGCTTTGGAGCCAGAAAAATCAGGGTTTGAATGCCAGCTTTTAAAAACAAGTCATTTACCTCTCTCATTTTTCTCATCTGAAATATGAGTCATATACTCCTGCCTTACAGAGATATTAACACTAGAGATACTTATAAACTACATAAACTACACGATAGGTGTACTGTTAATGCAAGAGGCATTTTTAAATGTACACACAGATACAGACCATGTTGATAAACCATAATAATCATGGACTTGTATATCTAACATAGCTTCAAGTATATGTTCAAAAGGTTAGCTTCTTGTGCATATATAATCCCATGCTCTAGTAGAGAGCATATTTTTAAAAGGCCCAGATGAAATATAATGGATATTGTTGTAGTTTCACCATTCATTTGTAGCATTATTCAATCTTTAAAAACTGCTGTATCAGTAATTATGTCTACTTTTTAAAAATTTATTTTTTTAAAGATTTTATTTATTTATTTGAAAGAGACAAAGTGAGAGAAGGAACACAAGCAGGGGGAGTGGGAGAGAGAGAAGCAGGCTTCCCGCAGAGCAGGGAGCCCGATGTGAGGCTCAATCCCAGGACCCTGGGACCATGACCTGAGCCAAAGGCAGACGCTTAACGACTGAGGCGCCCCATGTCTACTTTTTTTTTTTTAAGATTTTATTTATTTATCTATTTGAGAGAGAGAGAGAAAGAGCACAAGTGGGAGGAGGGGCAGAGGGAGAGGGGGAGGGAGAATCCCAAGCAGACTACTCAATGAGCTTGGAGCCTAATGCAGGGCTCAGTCTCACAACCCTGAGATCATGACCTGAGCCAAAATCAAGAGTCAGATGCTCAACCGACTGAGCTATCCAGGTGCCCCGTTATGTCTACTTTTTATTTCCAAATATTTATTTGTTCCTTCGCTCTTTTTTTCTTAATCAATCTTGCTAAAGGTTTATTTATTCTTTCAACAAATCAGCTTTTGGTTTTGTTAAACCTGTCTATTGAATCTTTCTGTTTCATTAATTTTTAGTTTTTTTAAGGCTAAAAATTTCCCTTTTTCTGTATCCCACAAGGTGTTTTTTTTTTTTTTTTTTTGACACAGAGAGAGAGAGAGCACAAGCAGGGGGAGTGGCAGGCAGAGGGGGAGGGAGGCTCCCCGCTGAGCAAGGAGCCCGATGCGGGGCTCG